GTGAAACTTTGCATTCCTCGTGTTTTACTAATCATTTTGATAGCTATTTTTTCCAAAATGGACAAACTTGGTCAAGCAAAGATCTTAAACGCGAGTCCCTTTTCAAAGTGAAAAATAGCTGATCTGAGATAATCCCTAGTGTCAATGAATGATGCGCCTATACTTTACAGATAGCTCTTTTCTGTAGTTTGCAAACTGTATGACTGAATTTAATAAGAAAAGCGATGTCATCGCCTAAATCTCGTTTTGCAGCATATTTTGACGGAAAACCTACGCTTTCTCACTCTTTCAACTGGCGTTTATGATGTTCAGAAGGATGTTGCGCACTCCACCAAAGGATTGCATACGAAACTGCTGGACACATTCATGGTCTGTAGGAAATAGTTTTTGAATCCTCCTTCCATTTGGGCTTCTGAAATCACCCCAATCACCTCGAGACTAAATCCCGATATTTTGTTTGAAGAAAAATCCTGAGAACTTGCATAAGTGAACTCCACTTTCAGAATGCTAGTCGGCAATATGAAAATCATTCCACAAAATTCACTTCAAACCAACACTTCGAAACCAATTTTCTACACTGCTCATTCACTCGACGGGTGAGTCTGTTTAGTTCCAAATCTACTTCGCACCTTCCCTCGCACATCCGCTCACTCGCCTGTGGGGTGACCGCGCTTGATTGGTTGACTGCTGACCTCTCTGGCAGTCTATAATGAACTCATATTGATTACATGAATTGAAAACTCCGTTATTATTATTATTATTATTATTATTATTATTATTATTAACGAACTTAATAGTTAGTTGATAGCTAGTTAATTATTATTATTATTATTAATATTTTTAAAGAATTAATATAATTATCATTGCTGTTAATAATACACATTTCAGAATAATATGTAATAAAGACAAAACAATGTATAAATTCGAGACCATCACATTACATGAAAACTATGTAGCTTTATCAGTGGCGTAACTAGTAATTTTTGGAATTTTGCTTCATTATGTGCTATATGCTATGGATTATGTATGCTAGGTTAGTACATAATGCATTCCTTTCTTTCGGTCTACAGAGCTCATAGTGCTGTCGGGTTCTGAGGATAAATGGAAGGCATTCCGAGCAACAGTGCTCGAGGAAACAAAAGGGGAATGTCAGTGCTTTTGGTGGGCTAGGTTAGTGCTGGAATCCGTAGGAGTAGGAAGGAACAACAGGAGCAGCTAGCTCTGATTTGAAGCTAGAGAAATGGCTGTGGTCGACTTCAGAGTAATACAAATAAGACATTATGCTAATCCGATGGCAAGCAGCATATGTGCTTAGCAGCAGCGATTTGTGGTCACATAATTGACAGATAGTGTAAGTGAAAGTTGTTATAATTTATAATATATAGTAGGGATACCAGGCGGCCACGCACGCTATCGCGTACGCTGGGGGCTACAGCCATAGGAGACAGATCCACATGAGCTTCTGATTTTCATTATAGACCTCGACCATCTAAGAATCTTCCCGGACACTTCTGTAGCGGCCATCATTTTTTTGTCCCATGGAAAGCATGGAATTTTTTAGCCAAATCATGAAATCCGGACTGGCAAGCAGTTCAAGAAGGGGTTCGACGTGTAATAGGAAGGGTTTCCCAGCTTGGTTGGAGTATTGGCATGGTATACATAACACTTGATTTTGAAACATGTAGTCTATCAGAGCGACACTTCTGTATACACAATATTCTTCAGCGAGGGCGACGGGGGTTAATCAAGTAATAACTTCAAACTTTTCTGATTTTAATTAATAAATATTTTGCTTTGGGCGGTGTGTGCTTGTGAACACTAAGTTCGAGACGACAGTACCCTTGGGTAGTTGTAGTGGTTTCAACGTCCCTACAGGGTATACACCTGTGTGACCGGGCTACTGTAGAGGTCTTTCGGGATTTGTTTTCAAAGGCTGATGTATCCGAGTTAAATACCTCTGCAGTCCATGCGATCAATGAAATTCTGTTTGGTTCGGGGGTGTGTGGTCATACTACTCCGGTGGTCAGTACTCCGGTGAAATGGGGCTGTGTGTGGCCATGAGGAGTACTCCGATGTATCCAACTCAAATATCTCTGCAGTCCATGTAGTCGAAGAAACTCTTCATGTCTTGTGCAATTGGGCTGTGTGTGGCCATGAATAGTAACTTCAAAAGGACAGCCTCTTTGGGGAGTTTTAGGGATTAACACGTCCCTACAGGGTATGCACCCGAAGTTAATGTAAAGCATTTGCTCTTGTGTAGAAGAAACTACTGTGTGTGGATCCATGAAACTAACTTTTAGAAAATTCTTAGCCTAATTTTTGAAAGAGTTCAGTGGTACCCCCTAGTTGTACACCTATGTGGTCAGTGTAAGTGTGAAGGTGAGGGACAGATGTATAAACTTTTGACCACAGTCCCGCCCTCCTTCTTTGCAAACCCCACCAACGTCAGACTTCAAACCACATTACTCTTACTACCTCCAGACGCCTATTTCCCGCGTTTTGAGACGCGTCCGAAGAGACTTAACGACTTTGATGAGCCTCGCCCACTTCAGTGCCGACCCCGCCCACTTCCAGGAGCTAACCACATTTGTTCTACTACATCTTACCACTTTTTTCCCCGCATTCCACTACGTTTCTGAATGAAGTTATAAAGTTTTGTTCTAAGCCCCGCCCACTTTGGTGCCAACCCCGCCCACTTCGAGGACTTGACCACATTTGTCGCATCACCTCTAACCAGCTTTTCCCGCATTCTGGAACGTTTCCTAACAAAGTTGAACTCATTTTTAAAAAGTAACTTTTACCTCAACGCACGCTCCGCCCATCGTTGGCGGGGCTTCGCTATACTTACGCATGCCCAGCACACATAAGGCCTTCCTCACTTTTTTATTCTTTTTCCTGGCCTCGACGCCTTCGTTGGATTAAGTTATGAATCTCTGTGGAAGTACCGCCTACTGCGAGATAGCTCCGCCCACCGCCGATAAGTTTCCTTCATCCATTGTTGACCCATCCCTCACCTTTGCACATTTTTTTCCGGCGTCTGGAATGTTGTGAGACCGAATCAGAGAACTCGCTCATGACACCACCCAATTCCGGCGCATGCCCAGCCCCTTTAGGGCGGAGCTCCGCTGAGCTCACGTGTGCTCTGTTGGTCTTGCCCTATGCTCAACCCATTCCAAACATGACCCGACCTCTCTAGGTGTTCCTTCAGGTAGTATCGAATTTTGTGACAGACAGACAGGCAGACAGACGCGAGCGCTTTATGTGTAGTAAGGAGAATTCAGTAATGCACTATAAAGTGGTCTAGAAAAAATAGGAAGAAGTGGCTGATATGATCATTTCACATTTGATGATGTGTGAAAGACATTAGCTTGTTAATGTGAGATGCTTCCAATTTTTTCAGTTCATTTACATCAACTACTTGACAATACTTCTGATGCTGCGGATTAGGATTGAAAAGTTGTGGATAGGGTTCTAAAAAACGGTTGTCAGCTCGACGCCCTAATGCTCTCAGTCCAAATACGTCTCTGATAAAGCTACATAGTTTCCATATTCTGTTTCTATTTTATTAGTTTCTAAATCATATTATATGGAGAATTTGAATTTTTTACATTGTCTTGTCTTTACCGCATATTGTTTTCGCAATTGTGTAATAATGTGTAACAATAATAATAATGACAATAGTAATAGTAATAATAGTAACAATAACAGTAATAATAAAAATGATAATAATGATAATAGTAATAATAAAGTTTCACTCATAAAACCAATATCAGTTCACTGAGACTGCCAGACAGGTTACCAGCCAATAAATTAAGGGAGGTCGTCCCACAGGCTCCTTTTATTATTCATTTACAAACTTTGTGCACGACGGGAGATTCGAACCGCAACGAACCCAAATCTGTTGCAGACGTGAAAAGGAAGCACCACCACTGCGCCATTCGGCCGGTTGAACATGAGAGAACTAAGACAGCCATATAATAACGGATCACGCTGGTAGCTGTAACTACACAACAAGGTTGTATAGTTAATTGATTTTTGATGTGTCATTCTATGACATTCTACCTGCCCCCTATTCTTTCAGAAGATGAATAGTTGAAGCTTCCCATTAAAGTGGAGCATTTTAGCAATGATATTATGGTATATCTAAAATCTAATATTTAAATCTTTAATTTTCGGAATCGTTGCCTTCACCGTTGAAGCTGGCTACAGCATCTCCAACCAGGTATTGCCCGCAGACCTCAGCGGCTCCTGTAGTAATAACCGCAAAGGTTTCTTCGCACCTTCACAATAGCCTGCTAATTGATGGTACCACAGCCGTAAAACTGTTTTACAGTCTGCATATTTGAATGAAGCAGTTGCGTATGAATTTGGAACTGAGGCTCATATCCATTTAAACACAGGAATTATACAGCTACTTATTCACGGAAAACATATTTACATTCGAAAAAAATCTGTTGTTTGGGGGCGAACTGTTGGTGAAATCATAAACTCCGACACTTCTTGAGTCCTCAGCACTTCATCATGTGGCAGAGGTGAATGATGCTCTTATGCTTTTATGCGGGCTCGTGAATAGCGAGCTCTGGCGTTCAGAGCATTTTTCACCGTTTGTCACACCTTTTTTTCGTAGCTCTTCGATACATTGGAGTACTTGAGAACGACCTATGGTAAGGAAATTCTATAAAGGTAACACTTTTCCCCCATAATGCCTTCACTTATGTATAGATAAGAAATATTCCCTTTTGCATGAAGTTAGATTTTTCTGCTGAGATTACTCTCTCCTCCACATTCTTAAGTAGCTCCGAAGGGTTGTCTACAAACAGTTATCGCTCCAATGCTAGAGCGAACTTCGTAGGTCTCTCTTACTCTAGTAACAACGAAGCTCGACTCGATCTCGATGAAACATCGAATTGTCGATTCCGCCCTCTAGATTGCAATTAATAAAGCTAACGTACAAGTTGTACTAATTAGTACAACTGAAAACCTGATAAAAGACATCTTTGTTACCCTTTAATATCTTGAACGGATGCCTCTGGCGAGATTATGCGTCGCTCCAGGCGGTACTCCATCCTATCCACCTTTTTCTCGAGATCGCGAGTGGCGCCTGAGGTGGCTAATCTCATTAACATCATTCGCTCCACCAGATCTCGACTGTCTGCAACTACTCGATTAAAAGCCTCCCTTGCTACAATTCGCCTCTTCTTTCCATAAAAAAACGTCGTTTCAGGAATGGTGCTGCTCTCCATGGTTGCGAAAAACCTTTCCACCAATTTTCCGTCTTCACCCACATCCGTTATCTTCTCCTCACATCGTTTTCTCGATGCAATTAGAACCATCTTGAGGAAACTATGCACTTATATCACGAGATTTTATCATAGGCGATTTCATACCTTTGCGGCGTAGAATTTCCTGTTCCGGCGCACTTTGACTATAGAGTTGATGCTGTGCCCTCCAGCAATGGCTGACAGCGGGACAATGTCAGCAGCCTTAGATGAAGTGGAGAAGACAACAACGTGAGTTGCTCTTTCCATGATAGTTTAATTATAATCCAGCATTTCATCCTTTATAAACGGCCTCGAACTCCGGTAAGATAGCCGTAGAAAGCCCTGTTCTGAACCCAAAACGGTGGACCATCTGCGATTGTAGGCGCCCCTACAATAACTTCACTGCAACAGTCCAACACAGTCGCCCTCGCTTCTGATGTCTCTTATTCGCTATAGCAACATTGTTTTTTCCCATGCATCGAGCCGTGAAGTCAATTTCGGAAATACACAATCAGCTGCGAGTTATGACTCAACCATCACATACCACAAGGTTAGCGTATTGTTGCGGATGCATTACACTCAACACCTCCTCGTGAAAGCGTTTCATATCGAGCTCGGAGAAATCGTTTCACACTGTGCACTATTAAAGGCATCATAGTGGACAGTTACTCAGCGGAATCTTCAACCACCATTCCCTTTGTTATGAAGCGCCTCCGTGACCATTACTGCCTCAAAGGTACGCCGACTGAGAAATAAGTTAGGATGCCAAAGAACTACGACAAGGTACTGCCACATGACTCGCGACGTCAATAAAGAGAAAACACTCGGCTTCTGCACAAGAATGACCGAAATCAACGCGGATTCTAGTCAATGCATATGTACTGATGAGTCCACTATCCGGAGTTCGCTTACATCACGCTTATAAACCCTTCCACTTATTTATAAGGTATCAGATTACTTCTCTGGTCGATTGTTCTGCCCGACACTGTTTTGTGGAAAAGGGCAACTACTTTGCAGGACTACGCACAAAGGCGAAGCATCCCGCGAAGCTGCATTTTTGGGCGGAAAATCTATGAGAGTTGTAACAAGGATCGCCATTTTTCCCTGCGAAATGGAGAGGATGGATAGTGAAAAGTACTGCCTAATCTTGGAATGCTGTTACAATCCATTGTATAAGGATTTTTTTAATGGTTGATTACTTGAGGCTGTTGAAATGAGTAAAAAATGGGAGTATTGCGTAGTTATGATTGGCAATTTTAAGGATTCGGTGTTCTCGTGCAAGGCAATACCCCTGCTCACAAGAGCCTTCATACGACTGCTCGCTTACGATTGTAGAATGCCAGAGTTCTTGATTGGACACCAGAATCGCCTGACTCGAACCTTATAGAATTCGTATGGGGGAACGTGCAAACCTTGATCAGGTTTTTGAATTTCTTTCCGAATCAGCAACAATCATTTTCACTTCTTTGTGAATTGACCATTTCTTTCAAAAAGGCAATATGTACGAACGTTGGAACATTTGAAGGAGCAGTCATAATCTACTGGAGAACTCTAACACCTGCAGTGTGCAAGATATATCTTACGAAATAGGAAGAAACTCCATATAGTGATTGCACAAGATGGAAAGAATATCTATGAAAGCCGATAGAAGCATTCACAACCTTTCTTTCATCATTATTCGGGATACATGTGATTTTTCGATTGGTCTCTGTGTTTTTATGAATATTAGCCTCAGTTCGAAATTGATACGCAATTGCTCCATTCAAATATGCAGAATATAAAACAGTTTGTGAAAAAAAGGAGGAAACTTCCGCAGTTGTTACTACAGGAGCCGCTGAGGCCAGCGGGCATCACTCAGTTATAGATGCTGTAGCCAGCCTCAACGATGAGGGCAACGATTTCAAAAACTAAAGATAGAAAAAATAGAACTCAGATATACCACAATATCATTGCTGAAATGCTCCACTTCGATGGAAAGCTTCAACTACTTATCTGCTGAAAGAATAGGGGGTAGGTAGAACGCCATGAAATGGCACATCAAAAATCAAGTAACTTTACGACCTTGTTGTGTAGTTGCGGCAGCCAGCGTGAGCCGTTGTTATATGATTGCCCTTAGTTCTCTGATGTTCAGCAAGCCAAATGGCGCAGAGGGAGGGCTTCCGCTCCACGTCTGCACCCGACTTGGGGTTCGTTGGGGTTCGGATCCACCGTCGTGCACAACGTTTGTAAATGACTAATAAACGTCACTAGCCAACGATGTGCGCTTCTCTGTGCTTAGTAGTAACGCCTCCCAGTTTCGATGGGACTGGGGGAGGGGGTAAGCAAAATGTCGCATACTTGATGTGGGCTTTCATACATCGAAAAACTAGAAGATAAAATCGGTTGGAAGACCAAGATTGAATTTCATAGCTTTCATACCATAAGTTTGACCTTTTTGAGGTTGTACGTGCATAGAAAAATCTAACTTTAAAAAGGGCCAAAAGATGCAATTATATCGTGAACATTTTCGTGCAATTATTTTTTGCAATCTTCGACGTGGATCAACTCAACAACAGTGCATGGACGAACTTAGTCCAATTTTTGGCGATAAAGGACTAGTGGTCATCGATGGTATGGTGAATTCATCCGAGGTCGTAGTTCACTTTAAAACGACTTTCGTGGAGGTCGTCCAAAATCAGCTGTTCCGATGCTGTGCCCAAACTAATATTGCAAGATCATCGTGAAATTGGGACAACTTCAGGCATCAGAGGGACCAGCATTTATTCAATATTGCATTAATATTTGACTGTCAAAAAATTTGTTCGAAAAAAAACCCGTCACCACGACAATGCGAGCTCTCACACAACGGCTCAAACAACTGCATTTTTGAGCACTCAAAACATCGATTTAATGAGTAATCAGCCTGATAGCCCTGGCTTTCGCACCGAACACACCGACTTCTTTTTATTCCTGTACGTAAGAAAATGTCAACGTTTTTCGACACCTGGAGGAGCGATTGATGCATGTTTTGGAGATACCTCGATCAGTGTGGCAAAAGTGCTCCAACAATTGGTTCAAGCGCATGCAAAGTGTATAGATCTTAGTAAGGAATACTTTAAAAACAATAACGCAGTTTTCAATGCTTAAAATTCGCTTTTGTTTTCTAGTCCTGAAATATAAAAGGCAACCTTAAAATGGGTGGTGAAGGTGTTAGTTTGAAGTGAATTTTGTAGAGTGGTTTCATATTGATGAATGAATTTCACAATGATGATGGAATGATTTTCACATTGCCGAGTAGCATTTTGAAAGTGGAGTTCACCTATGCAAAATTCAAGACTTTACTTTGAACAAAATTGTTGAGATCTGGTCTCGAGCGCATTGCGGTGATTTTGGAAGCCCAAATGAACGGTTTCAAGACAGTCGACTATTTCCTACAAACCATGAATGTGCTCCAGGAGCTCCATTTGCGTCAATATGATAAAGTGCGCAACACCTTCTGAACATCGTAAATGCCAATTGAAAAAGCAAGAAATGTACGTTCTCCGTCAAAATATGCCGCAAACCAGGACTTGGAAGATGAAATCGCTTCTCTTCTTGAATTCTGGCATACAATTTGCAAACTACGAAGAAGAGCTGTTTCTGAAGTACAGGCGCATCATTCACTGACACTAGGATCAACTCAGATTTGCTACTTACCACTTCGAGAAGCCGCTCCCGTTTAAGATTGGGGCATGACCAAATTTGCCCATTTTGGAAGATATCAAAATGATCAGTAAAACATGAGAAATGTAAAGATTTACTTTTTGTTTAGTTCTAGAATATGGTGGCTGCTCCACAACTTCCTCAACACTTTCAATAGAAGGGAATGCCCTCTGGTTATGATTATAGCGAGCGTCGCAGCTAATGACGAACTTAAGTGGACCGTAGATTTTTCTGTACACCATTGTATAGAGCTCGTCGAGCTGAGTTGAACTATGTAACATTATATGTGGAAAAGTGGAACATTACCTAGTTGTGAAGAGACGCTAGTCCGTATTTTTTTGAGTATTTGGTGTGGGTATTTTACCTTTATATTCTGCTGAACACTGCTCTCTGCTTTTCTTGTTTGCAAAACCGCCCTGACATCTCCATTCTCGAGCCGATAGAGCAGTGTGAGTCTTAAGACTATTCTATATACCTTTCCTTCAAGCCAAGCCCTACAGGGAATCACTGATTACAGAGTATATCGAAAAACTCCCTCTGTTCCAACCATTCCGCTTTCTCATTCCATGCTATTGTCGGCGGCTAGGCTTTAGGTATTCAAAATAAAACGTCCTCGGAACGTATACTCGAGTTCTTGTGAGATCGGGACAAATCACATTAATCTTTAGTCGACTAGTCGCTACCATAATTTCGAGGTATGAGCGGCCATCACAGCAGCCATCTCGTCATGCCATAGCATTTTGCACTTCCTCTTCGGAATGGAGAAGGTTATTTAATAGTGTTTCTCAACGCATTCTAGAATTAGATGTCGTGGTGCTTAATAAACGAGTGAGCCAGCTAATCCCATGTCCCTTCAGCGACTCTTCTGATGTTTTGAGTGGCCCCATACCAAGCATTAAACGAATGAGAGAAAACTTTCTCTTTTTCGAATAATCGAGTCTTTCATAGGAGCCGTCGAGATTCATACTACTTCTTGTCTTCTCTACGGCAGCCTTGGTCTCACTCTTGCAACTTCTATAGATAGCGAAGTTTCTTGAGCTCTTTTTCCGGCAGGCGCTTATTCCTTGCTTCTTCTGCTTTACTTCTTGTTGAACTTCATCGTTCCAAGACCGCGCGGTTTTGTCTCGTTTGAATCGGCCTCGAATCTGTCATGGCGTTTCTCTTGCACACTGTGAAGTGTTCGCTAAAGCGTTGCTCAAAGAATGCCGAATCAACTTATGCGTTTTTAAAAACATTCTCGAAGAACCTCGAGATGCTTCTCAGTTTGAAGCAGATACCATTTCAAAAACTACTCCCCGTTTCTATAAGGTAGCTTTTGTTGCAAAGCTAAATTTCCCCCAAGCACAGCCCATATAATCTCTGACATTATAAAGAAAGCTTCTCTCAAAAACACGTGGTCGACATCCGTTTGCTTCCCTCCGCTTTTGTGCACTATCTCCTGAGTTTTCCTTTTCGCGAAGAATGTGCTCCAGATTTTACGTCGGGGGCATATAACCAGGTCACAAGCCCTTTCTCCCTCTTTGTTCCTAATTGATCCGTTTGCTATGCATCGTCCTAGCACTATCACTCACTAGTTGCGACCATACTTGTATTTGCTGTGATAGATGTCCATCACAGACCGACTTAGGCCTGATATCGACATTCAGAGTTTTTCACCATTCCTGAAGGTAGGGATGAGAAAACTGATCAGAGTGAGCCTTTTCTTTTGCACAAAAGTTTGCATAAATGTATACATTGACAGCTACGCAGCATCAAACAGCCACACTTCCTAAAAGGTCATGTTGCCGAAACATTCTTGACCGTCCCTAGCACGCTGAAGTTGCCAAAAAACCTTCCTTATAGACCTTATAGATCCTTAAAGATCAAACACTCTGAGTTTACCATACGGTGGATCTTCAAAAGTATTGTAACGTGGTGAAGAGCACAGCGAATCAAGGTTGGAAATTGGTCGACTGAGTTTTTATTAAGATCAACGAAGAGCAAAGCGCAGCAATGAGTATTACGGTCAGAAAGTTATGCTGCAAGGCTGGTGGGATATGCGATAATCGCAGATTTCTCATACTCACAGCATTTGGTTCACAAGTGTTTGCAAAGTTCGACGTCAGGCACAGGAAAACAGCGTCTTTCCTCAGAATGTATGATGTGCTTCGAGTAGTCAAACTCTGAGTAAACTCATCTTATATTTATCATTAATTCTATCATTGCCTTGCCTGTTCATTGTCCATGTGGGATGAATATTTGCAGTCCAATTCTCGGAGGATAGACGCTTTTTCGGCCCCAAAACACCGTGAAACCTCAAATCCATCCTCATGTGAGGCCTTTAAAGCTTTTATAAAGAAAATAATGAAGATCAGGCAGAGAAAATTAGTGGGATAGTATAAATACCTTATTTTCACCTTGTGCAGCAATTTGGGGGTTTTGGGCCGATCCAGAAGGGAACATGGTCTAAAGAAACTTTCATAGAAGGAGATACTCAACATTGACCGAATGTTGCAAAAAAACCTTTAGTGACCTCATGGCATCTGGTCAGTCGCTTCCAACCAAATCTAGTCAAAGTAAATACAACGACAGCTTATTCTCCATCATTTCGGAGATACTTGACCCACCAACCTGGTGGTCTATTGGTCTACCATAATTATTTTGTATAACGGAGAGTAAGTAATCGATTCCGGAAGTAGTCTCAGAAACTCATGCCACACCGAAAAGAGGCGATATTGTGAAACCTAACCGATGTCAAGGAGGCGAGATAGTGGCTCGAAAGTCGAGAGAATGGTGAACGGGTCCGTTGATAGCTGATGCAGCAATGCCAACACCACCAGCTGAATCGTAGCTGCTGCTGTTATAAAGTTCGCACCCGAGTTCGAGTCATATGCAGTCGATCGCCTCAGCCGTTGTCGCGACTAGTTGCTGATTTTTCCCTGAACTTTGCGCTTTTATGAGTGGCAAGTAGGCTCACCTTCAATAAAATAGAGTGCCAAGGATAGGCAATTCATTTGCACTCACTAGTTTGGGGAATGAAATGAGAGGGACGATCGAGGTCGTACAGAATCGAGCTACGCTTTAATTACCTCCCTCACCACTAATCAGCGAATTTAAATTATGCTTTTGGAAGTGAACTTTACCAATCTTCAGCTAATCAATGATGCTATTGGAAGTGAAAGAAAGAAAAGGTTGGGTAAGAAAGAAGATAAAAAAGAAAGGAGAACTCGCCAATCCAACTATGGCTGTTTAACAGATTAAACTGGCAACCAGATTTGGACTCAAGACGGATATGAGGAAAGTTTGGGATGAATGAGAAGCGAGGCCTTAGTGCTTTCACAATGTGCTCAAACCGAAACTATTTTGATGTGAGGCATCTCTTACTAAACCTCAGTTTATATGAGTAGGAAGGAAGGAATTGTATAACCTCAGCGATAGATCGCCTTAGCTCCTTTTCGCGCGCAACATGCCGTCACTGCCGCCCTTGACGATCCGTACATTTTCTGATGTGTGAACGGGGCATATTGCAGCTCTTTACGCCAACGGTTCTCTCGGATTCACCCACTAGTGACAATAAGAACTCAATTTGCATGTCTACTTAAAATGGCATATTGCCTTTGATTATGGGTGGGGTAGCGTTGTTGGGCTTCGGCTAGACTTCACTAGTATACAGTACTCCGGTTTACTGAAGGTTGCTACTAGGTTGTTCGGAAAATAATTACGATTTCTGATGAAGGTTTTCTCTACACTCATTTTAAAGGCTTCTCAAAAGTTTGAATGCTTGTCAAACCTTCAATGGGTGATTATTATTAAAACGAACAGGGACAGTTTGATACTTCTAACCAAAGGCACAGGCATCGGCGCATTTTGAATATCGTTTGCATGCCCAATTGCTCCTCTATCGAATTTCGTGTTCCGAAAAGTATCATCTGTTCCAAAGAAGGAGTGTGTTGGTTTCCGATTATCACAACTCTATTATAAGAAGGAGGGAAGCCCGGCGTTAGCCAGGAGACCCGACTTGTCTCATATATAGGTACACATATACACAGTAGCGCTCGAAAGTCTTTGGCCAAACGCTCTTGCGCTTTTTCAATCATACCTAATCATACTTTCTCAGTGGAGCAAATCGCGCGAAATTTCGACATGTTCAACAGGAGCATATTTCGCACTATCCAACGTTACTTGATTGCAAAGCAGCAAAATCCACGCAACTTAGAGGAAGGTGTTTGTTTGTTGCGGTAGCAGATTTCACTAAAAGCAAAGTTATGGACGTCTGCAGTTATTCGCACCTTATGTGCATTCTCCCTTCTGTGTTCGGCATTAGTGCTCGTACACTCCAGACATGTCAAAAAGGAAAGAACTTTGAGGGAGGCCTTCATTCGCATTTCCATTTGATTTTGAGTTCAAGCCCTTTGATATATCTGGAACATGACCAGATTGCAGGTTAATGGTGGTAAATACTCAGAATACACCCATGCTACACATATTGAAATTTCCCATGATTAGATCCAATAGGAAAGGAGTTACGACTGAAAAGTACCAGCAAAAAAGCATTTGGCCGAATACTTTCGAGCGCTACTGTGTATATAGGCATATATGTATTATTTATTTATTTATTTATTTATTTTATTTACTTTATTTATTTATTTTATTTTATTTTTGATGCACGCAGCGGTGCGCTATAACAATACAGTGAAGTGAAGTAAAACATCAACGACATAATCGAGTCAACCTTACATCGATTGGTCAAGATTTTTTCAAATTAATAGGAAAGTAGTTACGCTCAAAATCCGGCGAATGAAACTCAGTAGGCCGATAGCGCTAGGGATAACACCACTCTAAGAGAGCATGAAATATGTATATTTTATATATAAATATATATACATATATGGAATACGAAACTGAATTTTTGGATGTTAGGTATTCCCTAGCTCTAACAATTCAGCTTCAAACCCGCCCTTATATAATTACCTCTGAGACTCTCTCGAGATCTTCGTAAGTAGTACCGCATCACGGTCATGAGGTCGAAAGATCTTCACCAAACGCGTAAGGTACAAAAATCCAGAACAGCAGCAATTTAGCGACGCAGAAGATGTGAAGTAAGAGGAAAAGCAAAAAAACACAAAACAAAACAAACAAAACAGAAAACAAAAGCCACATATATCACTGTCTTCCCTCTGAGTCGGTCGATGTACATTTTTGGAAAGTGGGGATTGCTGGAAATAAGCTGACAATTATCGAAATTCTCAGAAGTCCGGGATGCCAAGTAGTAACAAAAGATTCATTTCTCTCAACTTTCTCCTGAAAACTCCAACACTTTGAGCTTCTTGGACCTCAGCAGGTAGCATCTGGAGCCACTTCGCACAACGAAAGAAAAAAGACCGGCAATTGCTATTGCACTGTTTCTTGGCTAGTTTAGGAATGGTCATGGAGATCATTCTAGTACGTCCCCGGCAAGGCCTAAACACCCAGTACTTGCTAGGCTTGAGCTTTAGTTCGACCAGAAGTTTGAAACCGAAGACGACGTCATTGAAAACCCGTCTATAGAGAAGCGTCTTCAGCTCAAGCCGCTGTAGACGCTCTCTGTAGTCAGGCATGCTTGCAGGGTACGTGGTACTCGGGTAACATCAGTACATCAATACTTTTGTGAAGGTTTGCTGAACTTTCTCTATTTTCGCTTAAAATTTTCTAGTTTGCTTGCTCCAGATCTGTGACCCATACTCTAATATCGGAAGAACATAACATCGATAAAGTTTCAGAAACAGTGAGACGCTATTGTTATGGATGTTTCTGAAAATTGTGAAAAGAACCCTGAATGCTTCTTGCACGATACCATTGATGTGGCGCTCAAAACTGAGATCTGAGCTGACGTGGAACCCAAGATCTTTGACATCTTCAGAAACAAGCAGAGTTGTATCGCCTTACATGTACGGAATCCTATAAGCAATCCCAAGATGCAGTACCATTGTCTTAGCGAGGATCTCAAGCTGTGGCCCAAACCATCATGTTAATGATGGATTGGGTTAGAGAATGATGGATAATCTCCTTGCTATCCTGGTCATATACACCATACACTTTGATGTCATCTGCGTAGATACGGACATCAGATATTTCGGTAAATCATACATGTATGCCAAGAACAGTAGAGGTGAAAGTACACCGCCCTGAAGAACACCACTCGTACACAAAAACGTTCCGAAAAGGAGTTCCCGACCTCAACACACACATGCCTATTACTTAAGTATGACTGAATCCAATTGTAAAGTGTTCCGGAAACACCAACTTGCCTTATTTTTGAGAGAAGTTTACTGATACTAACTCTATCGAAAGCTTTCGATAGATCAAAATATATCACATCTACACCTTGGCTTCTATTGACAGCCAAGCTCCAGTCGAACTAGCAATCAGCCATCAGCGTACTTGCAGAAGCGCCTTCCACAAATCCATGTTGTTCCAAAGGTATTAACATGTTTTTGCGGAAGTGAGTTGCAAGTTTATCAGGTACTAGTTTTTCCAGGACCTTAGCCACTGGTGAAGTAAAACTGATAGGGCGGGAAGAGGAGACCACGTTTGCATGCGGAGTTTTAGGAATAGCTGTGATGATAGACTCTTTCCAGATTTCCGGGACTTCTCCGAACATTAAAGAGGTATTCAGTATCATACAAATGGGCTTACACAGGACGGAGGAGCATCTTTTATATACTATTTGAGGAATGCCATCATACGGCAATGGACAAGAGCTTTTGAAAAAGTTTAAAACTCTGTATACTTCCCTAGGGGCTATAGTGATATCAGAGAAAAAATCTTCTAGTTGAAGGTCATCCTCTGTCGTTTCACCCGAACTGGCTGTAGGCGTTGTAAAAACTGACGAGAAGAAACTTGCAAGCTTTGCATTAATGTTATAAGACTTTTTAAAACCTGTTGCTGAGATGTTAAATAAGTTCTGATCAACTTACGTTTCGGCATAATCTCCTTCTTCAGAGCCTGGAAACCTGTGTATTATCATTATCCATCCTTCATTCAACAAATAAACTTTAGAAAACCGGTTCCCTAGACTAAATGTCTTCAAACGGGCAAGATAACCCTAAACATGTTCAACCCACCTCTAGCAACAACCGGTCGTTTGGTCGACCGTCGCTAAACTGACCCATATGCACTTGGGGTAGCTTTGGATGATATGCCCTATCCCTCTCGCCATGTTATTGGGGGCAAACAAAACCCACAGAGGTCAGAGAAAGGCGCGAGTTCATTAGCTACGGCCAGGCACTCCTCTTTCCTATTCATTTTTGGGGACTTGGCGCTGATGAAAAATGCCTCAAGTGTCTTTCGCGCCGAAGTGAGGGGTTCCCGCAATAAGATCCTAACTGTAATTCCAAACACCGCACCTTTATGGGACTCTACTCGGTGAGCACCCAGTCTCCACCCTTCCTCGATTTAAGCCCTCCAGATGTTCCTTAACCCTGACGCACAGGGGTCGTCCAGTCTCTCCAATATATTCATCCTCACATAGATTGCATGTGATCAGGTAAACGATGCCTGATGTCATGCAGTCACCCTCCTGTCCATTAGGGCAGACCACGCAATTGGGTGTCAGGCAAATTCGATCGTAGCAGCGGTTTCGAGCCAGCCGCTGCTTCAGATATTCAGGTGGGATTTCGACCACTCGTACCATGTCCTTTAGGCCACACTTGTGCAGCGCCGCCCTTCTTTGAGAGTTAATAGCATCACTAATGTAGGGGATGCAGAACGCCACTTTATCCGAGCTGTCGATGGTGAGGCCATGTTGTTCCTTTTTATGTGCTCCAT